GTGTGTGTGTGTGTTCATGTCCCCTGTCATTCCACAGAGGAACAGGGAAAATGTTCAACTTTCTGATATCCTGAAGTTGCTCATTTATTAAGCCACATCACAATACTGGAAATTCAAACCAGAAAGAGCTTTGGCATCATTGACAGCTGGAAGGCTTGATCTCATTCTGTTCCCAGTGATCTCATGCCCTGGGAACAGACAAAACTAGAGCACACCAACCTGCACCAAAGAGGTAAAAGCCCCAAACAGGGGATCAGGAAGGTGTGGGTTGGGGTGCCCTGAAGAGCAAATTGGTTCTCTTGTCATGTGGTTGCTGGGGGGAAAAAGCAAACCAGTTCATCCCCACAATGCCCAAAACAGGGAAAATGCCCATCTGAATGAGCCCTTAATCCCACTTAGTGCCTAACGGATTGTTCGCCTCCTAAATGAACATTTTTAAGGAACCCGGAGTTATTCTGTGTGTTTAGTTATGGTACAAAACCCTGGGTATATGTGAACAAAAACTGTCAAAATACAATGAGACCCTATGTTTCTTAAATTATCTTCACAGTGGATCATGGAGTTCTGAATTATTTGATCTCATTTCCATAGTGGAATATCTTCACAGTGGATCATGGAGTTCTGAATTGTTTGATCTCGTTTCCATAGTGGAATGGCAGAATTTTGAGGAAGACAGAGCAAACCCTCTGAATGGATTTGTTAAGTTGAACACGACTGGACAAAAATTGTCAAGGGGAACCTTTACCTTTACCTTTACCATAGTGGAATGGCAGCATTTTGAGGAAGACAGAGCAAATCCTCTGAATGAATGGGATTTGTTAAGTCAACACTTACATAAATCTGTTTGATCGATTAGGTATGTCTACTCCAGTTTAGACAACCAGTTGGAGTCAGCTCATTATTTCACACTAGCATACGTGTGCTCATATATTATCTTTTAGATTCCCCTTCCTCGTCATCCCTGATGTTCATTGAATGTGCACTGTTGTGGTGGTTTTGCAGTGCATAGATTATGGTTTGATCGAACAAACAGTGAAGATTGTTAAAACTATTATTTGAATTGATTTAAAGCTGGGGTGGGAATTCTAACCATTCTGATTTAAAAACCCCTCTCAGACAGCCAGTCCCTAAGGAGAGGTCTGCCTGAACGTGAAGTTCTTCGCTTGCTTGCGACAGTAACACACTTACATAAATCTGTTTGATCGATTAGGTATGTCTACTCCAGTTTAGACAACCAGTTGGAGTCAGCTCATTATTTCACACTAGCATACGTGTGCTCATATATTATCTTTTAGTTTCCCCTTCCTCATCATCCCTGATGTGTATCGAATGTGCACTGTTGTGGTGGTTTTGCAGTGCATAGATTACGGTTTGATCGAACAAACAGTGAAGATTGTTAAATAAAACTATTATTAGAATTGATTCAAAGGGGGGGATTCTAACCATCCTGATTTAAAAACCCCTCTCAGGCAGCCAGTCCCTAAGGAGAAGTCTGCCTGAAGATGAAGGTCTTCGCTTGCTTGCAGAAGGACAGTAACGGTGAGGCCAGCTTGGCCTGCTGTGGGAGGAAATTCCAGAATCAGGAAGCAGTGACAGAGAAGGCCCTCTTCTGTGTCCCCACCAGATGAATCTGTGAGGGTGAGGAAACTGAGACAAAAGCTTCCCCTGATGATCTTAACACCCAGGCAAACCCATAAAGAGAGATATGGTCTTTAAAATAGATTGGATGTAATCAGGAATCCATAGGTTAAATTGTGCCCAGAAATGCATTGGCAGTCAGTGGAGCTGCTGTATTATGTGATCCCTATTACCAGTTAGCAATCTGGTTGCAGTGTTTAGGACCTGCTGAGGTCTCCAAACACTTTCCAAAGGCAGTCCCACATAACACATGCTACAGTAATCTATTCAGGATCAAACTAAGGCATGAGTCACTGTAGCCTTACTCAACCTCTCCAAGAATGGGCAGAGCTGGTGCACTAGTCTTAATTGTACTCCTGGCCACCACTGAAACCTGGGCATTCAGGCGTACAGACACAGGTTGCATTCTTGTTACTTCATCTGCATTTCAAGTGACCAGAAGAACGGTTGTCTTGTCTGGATTACGTTTGAGTTTATTCACCCTCACCCAGTCCATTACAGACATCAGACAACTCCACATGCAAACCTTAAACTTCACCTATTTGTTTTGGTCCAATTCTCCAGCTAAGGTCATTCTGAATCTTGATTTTGTCTCCTGAGGTATTAACTATTAGTCCCAGTTTCATATCATCAACAGATTTGATCAGTATGCATTTACACCTTCATTGAAGTCAGTTATGAAGATGTATGTATTACATAGGCATGTATATATGCCTGCCTGCGTGCCTGCCTGCCTGCCTCTGGGTAAGGAGAAGAAGGGTTAGAGAGACAGAATAGAGGTTTCTTTGTTTCCTTCCTTCCTTCCTTCCTTCCCTTTCCTCCAATGAGTTCAAGGCAGTGAAAATTAACTCCTTAACCTATTTTGTTCTCCTAGCGACCTTGTGAGGTAGGCCAGTCTAAAAGACAAGGATTGATTCAAGGCCACCCAGTGAGGTCCATGGTGAAAGAGAGATTTGAACAGCCATCTTCCAAATCCCAGTCAAATATTCTAATCATTGTAACACACCATCATCGCGGTTCTGCAGGGTTAATGCAGGGCTGGTCGCGATTTAGGCAGGGACGCTATTCCTTCCAAGGCAAGTATTGGATCTGCTGACCTTTGAATCTGTTCTAGCTGGATGAGTCTGCGAAGTGCATGGCTAAATACCATGTGGGTCAGAGTAAGACCAAATTTATTTTGAGGTATTGATCAGCTTTATCAGGCCTAACTACAGAAGCCTGAATGCTGTGACTATGACCGAGCAGAGTCCACAAAGCCTATAACGGAACTGCTGGTGGTGTGGAAAAGCCGAGAGCGTGGCTGAAAGGCAGCATTATGCACCTGCCGGCAGTTATGCCGCTCATCTGGCATATGCTGTCAGTTTATCCCTTTGATCACCAAGGCATTCTTTAAATATGTGGCATTTATTCTTATCAAAAGACACACTCTGTGTTAAGATGACTGCATTTCATCAGGTGACTTTAGAAAGACAGAAAAGCCTGTAGCCAGCGTAGACCAAGCAAAAACATGGGCACAGTGGCTGGCTTATGCCCAGATTGCTAAAATGCACGCAGAGGTAGCCATGCTATCAAAGGGAAAATTTGATTTTGTGTTTTAAGTTTTTTTTAAAATTATTGTTGTTCAGTTTCTCATGCCTGTTTCAATGTCCTGCACATTTGCTTTGGGAGGTTTACATGGGAGAAAGCAATAAGCAAGTGATCACAATGGATCAATCCATAAATAAAGTCATTCCATCTACTTAAACCTTTTTTTAAATGCACCATCGTCTTAAAGATCTGACCTGAACCCAGGACAAAGTCAGAGAAGCCCCTTCTCAAAATGGAAGGCAGGCCTAATAAACCAGATCAAAATTGGGAAAGGAAATTGTCTGACTAACCCTATTATTCACATGCTCCCCTCAAGGTCATCAACCCTCACCAGACCACACCCCGATCACTGCCCCTCACCTCTTCCTTCTCACTTAATTTACGGGCAACAACAGGCAATGAGGCAGGCAACAAAGGGCAAACATGGAGGTATTGTATGTTCCTTCTCCTTTCTGATATGCTCTTCCCAATGGCTTCTGGAAGGAAGAAGAGTTCAAATTTTCCTGTAAATCAGTGTCCCTCACAAATTTCTCTCAGCAAATATTTGTAGGGCAAGAGGATGAGAAACAGGAAACATATTCTCCAGGCTTGAGATTGGCTAAGGAGCAAGGGGGAGGGGGAGGAAACGAAGGGGGGAAAAACAAGGCCAAACCAAAGAAAGACTCAAAGGAGCAACTGCTGTTACCCTCCTCTGAGGTGACCTGTCTGTCAAGTGGCGAGACAGCTTTTTTTGACCATGATTGTCCCCATTACAAAATGGGCACCTAGACCCTATGTTGCTTCGTGTACTAGAAGTAAGGTCTACAATACATATTTAACATGTAACACTCTTGAAATATTGTTTAAGCTTTTTGTCTAGGGCTGCTACTCTGGCTGTGCTGTGGCATCATCTGCTGATGCTAGTTTTGATAATAAAACTGAAACAACCAGACATCTATTAAATTTCTGTATAACATTGTTTTAAATTAATGAATACACAAAGACACATTGAATCTTGTTTCCTGTCTAAACAGACCTAGAGTTGTATTAGTATTAGTACTGCAGATAGTCTAAAGGTGAATTGAACTGAAGGAAAGACTTTGGATCATGAGGGGGCAGTTTGTGGCCCTTCAGATGCTTTGGAGGCTAAATTCCAGAAGCCCTAATCAGTATGGTATGGAATTATGCGAGGGTCTGCCTCAAACATCTGGAACATTAGAGTAAGATACCACTTTGTGGACATGTCTAGAAAACCAGGGACTTCAAATATACTTCTGTGTACACTCAAAACCAAGGAATTTGGTTGGTAGCCCGGACTCTCAGCTTGCCCTGAGGCAGTAGGAACACTATCCTTTCCCATCAGATCATTGTGTTCAATGGTTCACGTGGCTTCTTTCTTCTCTGAGGGGAGGGTGCAATTAATAAAATAGGAACCACAGCATTTCAGCTTGACATGGGGCAGCTGTGGAGCAGCCCAGAGCTTGCTAAGGACAGCATTTGTGCTTGCATCAAGTCTTGGATGTTTGCGTTGAGATTTTGGCATCATCATCATCAGAGGTGTGGCTTTGCAAGTGCACTCTTTCTTGCTTCTGATTGAAGAGCAGCTCTGTGGAGAAAGACGCTTATTCCCCTCTCTCCTGCTATCCTGCTTCTGCCTGACTCCTCCCTCCTGCAGCTCTGAATAGTGCAGGCTGAACCAACGAGCTTCTGATTTTCACCCCCCCCTCCTCACTGCAATAGTTTCTCCTCAGCCATCAGCATGAGACTGATGTGCTGCTTTCTTTCCGCCACGGCACGTTTCTTGGAATTTTCTGAAAGGGCTTTACTTTACAACAGTTAAACTCAATCACTTCAAGGGGATGATAAAGGAGCTGGATAAAGAAGCAAAATAAGGAAAAGGGCGAAAATACTCTTTTTTTTCTTTCTTGTTCAGCATCTTTTGCTCTCTGGCACATCAGCGATGCTTCTTTTGACCATGTGTTTCCATTTGAAGCAAGAGCTTTCCAGGACTACTTGAGAACATTGTGAGCAGCTATCTATGCAGCACCGCACGAATAAACTTGGTAGAGAAGACCACAAATCCACTCTGGAGCTCCTAGTTCTGTCAGCAGATGAGAACTCACAGAATCGGTGAGACGGCAAAATAATACCTTCCCAGCCCACCCGAACAGCAATGTCGGTCACTCCTAGAAATGCATCACTAAATGGGACAAGCCATCTAAACCAGGGGATTATGGATATACCCAAAGATTCAAAATCTTTGAACCTTTTTCTTTTCTGCTTGACTTTCATTATTACATTCACTGCTCTCCTGGGAAGCATCTATTTATTAGTGTCGCTGCTGCGAATGCAAAACAAGAGTACTCTTGCCATGCTTGTGACTTCGTTGACGGTGGATGATCTGATCAGTGTGGTGCCAGCGACAATCTTCATGCTCAAGCTTTGGCTGAATGAGATGCTTCCCTCAACGTTGTGCACAACTTCAGCGCTTCTGTATTTATTTCAGGGCTTTTCAAGCAACCTGATGGGGTCCCTGGTAGTTTCGTATAACTTCTACAGTCTCCACAAACTGGGGAGTGGTGAAGGGGCTACCAAGCAGCCAGTGAGCATGATATGGGCTGTTCTCACTATCTGGATGGTCAGTTTGCTGATTTGTATTTTGCCTCTGTGTGGTTGGGGCGCCTATACCTCAAACTCCTGGGGATGCTTTACTGACTGCTCCAGTTCTTATATCTTATTTCTTTTCATCCTTTACTCGCTGTGTTTCTGTCTCCTCATTGTGCTCTCTATTCCTCTCATTTATCAGCTGCTGTGCTCAGATGAACAACTCCATATTTATGATGACTATCATCAAATCACCCAAGGGTATTTCTCCCCTGGGTCACCTTCAGTGAGTAGTCAGATACCCTCCCTCTCTGCCGAAGACACTGTGATTAAAAGCTTGAAGCATTTCCGAGACGATTGCCAAAACTCAGACCCAAAAGTCAGGCAAAATCCAGCAGACAGCCACTGTAGACTGGACCACTATGGAACACAAAATGCACCATACAGCAGCCGAAACTTCACTGTGGAATTTGCTCAGAAGCGCTTCTCACTGATTCTGGCTCTCACCAAAGTCATTCTTTGGCTCCCAATGATGGTAAAAATAAACCCGTTTTCTTTCTATATGTGTAATGGGCCAATTAAGGCGTGTCTGATGAGATTTAGAATTATGGGCCCTCAAATACAGAGCAATTGAGGCTGTGGTTTCTCTGTATCTTGGAAACTTGTATTCTGAAATGTTAGAGACCAGTTAGTCCAGATAAAAGTTGTGTGCATCTTTTCAATTCGTTAGATTATCAAATCAGCTGCCATGAGTTAAATGGATTCTCCACTACTGTACTGATTCATTGCATTCATTATAGCAATTTCTGTCTAACCTGTCTTCTCCACATATGGCAGATCTAGTAATCAGGACCCGCTAATGGAGTTCCTGGTGTGCACAAAACCTCACATCATTGCATTTTGATAGCAATTGCTAGGATTTTAATTGCAAATCCTGACTATCTAGTTTGGGGTATAAACTGGCTTATATGGGTGGGTGGATGCATTTGTAAGATTTGTATTACAACATGCATATGGTTTCATGGTTGTACTATAACCTTTCTCCCCTCCCCCCAGTTGACATATAGCCACATATAACCAGGACATCAGTTCGTTATTTTGTGGTTCTGTTCTATGCTGGGATGAGCATTCTACAAGTACATTGTACTGCTGAACGGTTCAAAGAATGAAGCCACTTGGAAGGGTGTGCCACGAGCTTCTGTTGGCACAGGAAACTGGACAGGCACTACATTGATGGTGTGTGAGATTATCCAGAGTATTTGTCAAATATTACTCCCCTCCCTCTTAGCTACAAGACACACCCTTGGCCCTTGGGCAGTAAATTCCTTGCGGCTTTAACACTGAAATGGAAGAAGGATGTTTTTTATAATTTTGTAAATACTGAGAATTATTGAGAACTGCCTTGATGCAGATGATAGTACAGAACGCAGTTGCTGTCACAAGACATTTGAACATCCACATTGCTTAATAGACAATTCACTCTGTATCTTGAGAGCCCCCTTTTTGCCTGAAGATCCTTTTCTGTGAACTCACCTTTTCTGTGAAATTTATCTTGACCTTTTCTGTGAAATTTATCTTCAGCCTTATTCTGAACTGTGGCTACAGCTGCAGTCCTGTGCCAAATGTCTTGGGAGTGAATCCCATTAAATACAGTCTGATTTATTTCTGAATATGCATACATAAGACAGCGCTGTTTGTCCATGCATTTGCATTTCTACATGATCACTCTTTGTTAAGTCCCCCTATTCCATCTTTGCCTTCTGACATCTCATCACTGATGAAATTTATATTGTAAGCTCCATGGAGGCAAGGACTGGCTTTTTATTATTATTATTATTATTATGAAACACAGTGCACAGAACTCATCATTATCATTAATAGGGAATGTTTCCATCTCCCAGTATAACCTCAGACGGGCTTTTATTAGTAGCTCAGGGCCAGTGCTTCTCCTCAGTTAACAGCTGAGGCATCAATATTTATTGTTTCATTTGAAGCAACCAGCGTTCTGAGAAACACAGATGGGAGTTATGTTAGCATGTTTGCTTTTCAGCATCTGTCACAGAGCTCAGCAGAGAGGGGCGCAAGACGCACAGGAGTGTCAGTCTACAGCTTCACAAGCATCCCAGAGTTAGTGGTGTGGAGGGCAGGAGATCTTAGACCATCTGGCCTTAAGCCCATTTTGCCACCTCTTATGCTTCCCAGGGCCTCCCAGTGCTCTGTGACTCAGAGAGAGTAAGTGACTTCAAGTGAACATTATTTTGTTGGCAGCATTCTAACGGGGTGTGTCCAAAAGTGTGCGCTCCCAAGCAGTTGTTTCGGCAGAGACTTTCGAAAGTGTCACATTAATCAAATGATGAAACAATTACTTATTTAATACACAAAGACATGCTGAGGATGAGAAAGTTTGGCTTGTGCTCAGGCTCCCAAGCACTGTGGAGCATTAACACACACACACACACACACACACACACACACACACACACACACACACACACACACACACACACACACACACACACACACACCCTAAGGAATAATGTTTGAACAAATTCAGAAGAAGAGATAATGAGCATGCAAAACTCAGGGCATAAATCCTATATGAGCACAATGCAGACAGAAACTGGAGATTATTTATTTAAAAAATCATGAAGTTAGCACACAATGCCCACTGAAACCTTGACAGATGTGGGCAAAGGTGTAGGTCATAAATTCCATTTTGAGGCTTTGCAGTACAACTGCCCTTATAAATTGTTTAAAAAGCCACATGACATTTGTAGGTGAAAGCTTACAAGACGTTTACTTTCAAACAGAAGTGGGAATTCTGAGGCCTTGGACACGCGCCATTATGATAAAGATGAGGATGCTGGAGATGGATTCTGGAAAACAAAATTCACATCCCCACTTGGTCATGAAGCTCCTTGAGCGGTTCCATACCAGTCACATTCATTTATAGATTGATCTTCTTCTCAGAGTTGTTATGAGGATAAACCGGGAAGCAAGAGAGCTGTATGTGCCACCCTGAGCTTCTTAGAGAAAAGGCAGGATATAAGGGCAATAGACATGTGGGTGGGTGGATGGGTGGATGGACGGATGGATCAAGGTCCTTTGTGCAACCTCCAGGGTCCCTTCCCCATATATACACACAGCATTTTTGTTTGCTTTGGAAATAAGGTTTAGTTATTTTATCCAAGTATTTCAAACTTGCTGTATACTGTATTGGCAGATCCTAGGCCATCAAAAATGAAAACTCCTTAAGTCCTTAAAATAATGTAAAGCTTTGAAAAGCATGTTGAAACCACATTTAAAAAAATCAAAGGAGGAAAGTGGAGTGGAATGTTTTCCAAAGTCAGGTTTCAGCCTGGTTGCAAAATAACGACAATGCTAGTGCCAGTCAGGTCTCCAACGGGACAAGATTCTAGAAAGAAGAAGCTACCGTTCAGAAAGCCCTATCTTGTGCCTCCAACAGTGTATCTCAGTAGCAAGACATAGAGGAGACGACTTCCAGTAGAACTTAGTGGTCATGCGGGTATGTGTGGACAGGTTTATATGTTCCATCAGGTACCTTGGTCACAAACTATTAAAAGCTTTGAAAGTAATTACCAACTCCTCAAAGTCAGATGAGAAATATACTGACAGCCAGTGAAATTCTTTAAGAACCAGTAATTTATACATTCTGTGAAGTGTGTGTGGGTAAAGGAATTTCTGACAGATAGGCCACAGCCAGTAAGAATGGGATCTCACCATTTTTCTACCTTGGTACTATGTACAGGAGCTCCCCAGGGCTGTGTGCGAAGTCCCTTCCTCTATTCCCTGTACACACATGATTGCACCCCACTGTATAACACCACCACAATTATTAAATTTGCAGACGATACGACAGTGGTGGGGCTAATAAATAAGAACAATGAGTGTGCTTACAGAAAGGAAGTACAAGGGTTGATGCTCTGGTATAAAGAAAATAATCTTACACTTAACATAAAAAACTAAAGAACTCATAATTGATTTTAGAAGGAAGAGAAATGTACATTTACCACTGTACATAAATGGCAAGGAAGTGGAGAGTTTTGGTAGTTCTAAAATTTCTGGGCATTTACATCTGAGAGGACCTCTCATGGACTATAAATGTCAACATGCTAGTGAAGAAGGCACAGAAGAGGCTGTATTTCCTGAGAATGCTCGGGAAGTTAAATTTATCTCAGCATTTACTTCTGTCCTACTATTGTAGCACCATTGAGAGTGTCCTAACCTATGGCATTCTTGTATGGTTTGGGAGTAGCTCTGTAGTGGACAAAAAAGCTCTACAGAGGACCATTAAAATTGCCCAGAATATCTTCGGGCTCCAGCTATCAACCCTGGATGACATCTTCACATCCCGCTGTCTGAGGAAGTCACACAACATCCTTAGAGACTTTTCCCATCCTGTTTACAACTTCAGTGGTGCCTCGCTTAACGGCAAGAATCGGTTCCAGGAAAATCACTGCTAAGCGAAAACGTCGTAAAGCAAAAATAAAAAGCCCATTGAAACTCATTGAAAACCGTCGAATGGGCTAAAAACTCACAGTCCAGCAAAGATCCACCATACGGTGGCCATTTTCGGTGCCTCTATAGCGAGGAATCCGTCCATAAACACAGTGGGGAGCCATTTTAATTTCCCGGTGGCCATTTTGAAACCGCCAATCAGCTGTTAAGAAAACAGCGTTTTGCAAAGAATCGGTTCCCGAAGCAGGGAACTGATAATTGCAAAGCGAAAAAACCCTATTTAGACCATCGTTTTGCGATCGCAAAAGCACTCGCAAAAACATCATCGTGAAGCGGATTCGTCGTAATGCGGGGTAATCGTAAAACGGGGCATGACTGTTCTTTGAACTGTTGTTGTCTGGCAGAAGATATAGAACAATTAAGACTCAAACCACACGTTTTCTAAATAGTTTTTATCCCAGAGCTACAATTGCACTTAATAATGAACTTAAAGACCACCAGCAGTGAAAAGTTGGACAGTGTTACTTAGCCTGCAGTGTAGATGTGTTCTTAGTGGGGGATTTTTCGTGGGTGGGGAGTGTTTGGGGATTTTTGTGTGTGTGTGCATATGGGTCTGGTCTCTGGGTGTCTGTCTTAATTTCGTTGTACAGTGGTGCCTTGACGTACGAACGTCCTGACTTACAACCATTTTGAGTTACGACCAGCTCTGGCCACAAAATTTTGCTTCGACTTGTGGCCAGAGCTTCCAGTTATGAACAGAAAAAAGGCAGGGGAAAAAGGTGGAAAATTCAAATTGCTAACTGTTGGTAGGCGAAGAGGCTGCTTCTTTGTAGCTATTTCGCCACAACACTTAGAGTGAGTGCAATCAGAGGAGGCTTCAGACTGCCTGGTAAGGTAGGGTGCTGCTTTCTGCTTTTTAAAAACTGTTCTGGGTGGGTTTTCCAGCATGGGTTTGGGCTGGGGAGAGTTATGTTTCTGTGCTGTGATGGGTCTTCAGGGGTTTGGTGTTTTTTTTTTTGGTATTTTCCCCCCATTTTTGATGGATCTTGGGGGGTTGCTTGCATTTTGGGTTCCCCCCATTTCTGAAGGGTCTTGGGGGTTTGCTTGCTTTTGGGGCTTCCCCCCCTTACCGAAGGGTCTTGGGGGTTTGCTTGCTTTTTGGGGTTTTCCCCCATTTCCGATTGGTCTTGCAGGGTTTGCTTGCTTTTTGCATCACTTTTTTTTCATTTCCGATGGGTCGTGCACGCTTCTCTTGTTTCTGCTTTGCTTTTTTTCATTTCCGATGGGTCTTGCATGCTTCTCTTGCTTTCTGCTTTGCTTTTTTGCATTTCTGATGGGTCTTGCAAGCTTCTCCTCCTTTCTGCTTTGCTTTTTTTTTTGCATTTCCAGTAGGTCTTGTACGCTTCTCTTGCTTTCTGCTTTGCTTTTTTTTGCATTTCCAATAGGTCTTGTATGCTTCTCTTGCTTTCTGCTTTGCTTTTTTTTTTGCATTTCCAGTAGGTCTTGTACGCTTCTCTTGCTTTCTGCTTTGCTTTTTTTTGCATTTCCGATGGGTCTTGCACACTTTGCTTGCTTTTTGCTTTGCTGTTTTGCATTTCCGATGGGTCTTGCATGCTTCGCTTGCTTTCTGCTTTGCTTCTTTTGCACTTCTAATGGGTATTGCATGCTTTGCTTGCTTTTCTTTTTCCCCCTCATTCAGCCAGAATGGATTAATTGCGTTTCCAATGGGTCTTGCAGTGGAGTGCGTGCAGGGTGGGTGGGAGATCTGTCTCGATGGCCCAATCCTGCCATGGCCATGGACCAGCCCTGGGCAGCAGACTGGGGGTTGGGAACCCCTGCACTACTGTGTCCAAGTTATACTCCTTAGAATTGCTTTAATAAACTGATGTAGTAGTAATGTGCATCTTTTACTTTCTCTTTAGTCTCTTTAGTTACAACAGTAATAGCAAGCATGTCAAATTGGACAGCTTTAGATGAAAAACAGAAACAAAAACTCACAAGCCCCATTCAGGATGAACAGGAGAGTCAATGGGTTTCGGGAAAGGAGGGAACCACTGAGTCAGGTCCTGCCTCTAACCTCATGCTTTCTGTCCAACCTCTGTAGAAACTCTCTACAAAAATCCAAACACTTTTTTTCAAGCATTGTTATGCAGGGACAGGGGAACATATTTGTGTGTATGCACATGAACATGGACATGAATGGAATCTGATGTGGCTTTCACCTTGTTTACTTTTAGCAAGGTCAGAATGGTGACCTTGCCTACCAATGTAATGTGAGCCCCAGAAAGTTACCTATGAGATAATGCCACATTCAAGATGGAAAGTGTGCTACACTCCTTGTGGATGAGATTGCAATTTATACCTGAACAAGCATGCACTGTAAAGCTCCACTGCTATGCGCACTGCCCTGTAGGTCCCATTTAAGGTCTGCAAAGTTTTCAATTGAATAGACATATGTTATAATACACTTGGCCAGATCATGCTCTGACTTTCCAAGGAGTAAGGAAGATTATAAAAGCAACATGCTTCTCTTATGTGCCTTTAAACTGGAATGGACTTATAGGCACAGGGCTTTCCCAGTGTGGTGTAGTGGATAGAGGGGTGGACTAAGACTCTGTCGAACAGAGTTTGACTCCCTGCTCAACCAGGGGAATGCAGTTTGTGAAACCACTCCTTGAATATCTGACTTGCCTTGAAAACCCTGTTAGAGTCAGTATAAGTCAGTTCCGTCTTGAGAGCATGTAACAACACAACAATGACCACTCCCTGCTCAACCAGGGGAATGCAGTTGGTGAAACCACTCCTTGAATATCTGACTTGCCTTGAAAACCCTGTTAGAGTCAGTATAAGTCAGTTCCGTCTTGAGAGCATGTAACAACACAACAATGACCGGACTTTCAGTATAAGTCAGTTCCGTCTTGAGAGCATGTGACAACACAACAATGGCAGGACTTTCAAGGTAAGTGAGACATTTAAGAGGCGATTTTACCAGTTCCACGCCCCTGGTGAGTTTCTATGGCTGAGCAGGGATTGGAATCCAGGCCTCTTGAGTCCTAGTCCAATACTCTATCCACTACACCACTGCTTGACCTTTCTATGCAAGAGTTATCATTTGTTTTTGTGCGGTAGGTTGATCTACACCAGGAAAAATGGCAACCCTTTGATTTCTTTGAAATGTCTCTTTCTTTCAGATACAAATGGTTGTTCAACACACCGTAGGGTTCCAAAGCCTTTCCTTTGAGATATTCAGCTTTCTGCTAACGTTGTTAGCTGTCACCGTCACCCCAGTGTTTGTCTTGTCAGAACACTGGAGCCACCTGCCTTGTGGCTGTATCATCAACTGCAGAAAGAATGTCTACATGGTATCTTCAGAAGAAGGCAAAAGTAAGTATAGAAAGATTGGGCGGGTGGGGGAAGGAGCTAAGTTATTTGTTCCACAGGGGGTTGAACAGATGGCGCCAGATTATGTTGAATATGGCCGAACTAAAAATATCGTATGTGTTTCTGTTCTGTTACCTTTTCATCCAAGTCAAAATGCATTTCCCACAATACTTTGCTTTTCCTTTCTTATCTTAAAGAAGTAGTGTGTTCACATGAGGGTGTTTACAGTTCAGCTCTCATCATCTCTAACTATTTGGCTATGTTGCCTGGGGCTGAAAGGACAAATGACATTTGGAGGATCATACATTTCCCACCCCAGTTTTGTATGCTGCACTTCTCTACACTGTCTTGGATTTTCCCCCAATACTTTTTTTTCCCCATGGATGAAATTAATGTCTTCTCTGTGAAAAAATGAGAAGAGGTTATTACAGCTTAGGGCTCTTCCAGCCAGAACATTTGTTCTTCGTAACACGCTAGGTTATCAACCAAAATTATTGGTATATTTTCCCACCCTTTATATGACATTCTTATCTCATTTGGCACAGTACTTTTTAATGTGGCTTTCTGCTCCTTTTAGCACTTCCTGATAGCATGGTTTACTTTTAGTGTTTCTTTGTACCCCTCCATGAGTGGAGGTGTCAAAAAGCCCCCTCAGGGTGGTCAGCAGGATACAAGAGAACAATTCAAGCAACAACCTAAACATTCTTTATTGTAGTTCCTTGGTCATGGGCTCGCTGGGGAGGGCATGTCTCGAGCCAAAGCTGGCATTTCCACAGCTTAGTCCCTGAGGCCAGGGCTAAAGCTGGGTGGTCAGGCAAATAAGGGGACATAACTGGGAGTCCTCTGAAGTCTGCTGGACTTTGATCTACCCTTCCACAGCACTTTCCTCTACCATCATCATTATTTAAGGCCCTAGCTGCCACAGGCTTTTCTATTTCTCCTCCACTTAGGTGCAAATGTTCCTGCCAAGGCTCTTTTGACAGGTCAGCCATCAAAGATAGAGATTCACATGTGTGTACACACACACACACACACACACACACACACACACACGGCACTCCCCACCTCATAATTTTTAAACTTGGTGTTTCTTTAGATAAAAACAGGCAAGAACCAGAATGAGATCAACAATTCATAGGCATCATTAACAGACTTTGCCCCCTATTGTTTCTGTGAATGCTTTCATTCACCGGTCATTTATGTAGTTTCTAGAGTTCCTTTTTTCAAAAAAAGAGAGGAAAAGATATTCCAGTGCTGAAAAACTGAGAGAGTTACACTTCTAGGGTGTACAATTTTTTGAAAAGCCAAGAACAACAACAACAAAACCCAAATGCAGGTTATGCCTTGTCATGGCAAATAAAGAAAAGCCATTAAAAGGGGAAGTGTTTTTAAAAAGAAAACCAAACTTATCAATGCCCTGAGATAACCTGCAACTTTATTTTTCAAAAGTAGCATACAAGTTAGGCCTATGGTGAAATACCCCCTTCTTCCCATTCACACACTGTGATCATGGAGGCATGTAGCATATGCAGAGTAGCAATGTGCATGAGCACCAAAATTCATATTCAGAATTCAGAATTTTAAAAATTCAGAATTTCCAGATATCCAGAACTCCATTATATTCAGTATGAATACTATACACAATAGGGCCCTCATATCCACAGGGGAGTGATTCCATGATTGCTTATGTGACTAAAGGTCTTGACAATATACTACAATGTGAGAGAAAATCTCCAGTTTAAAAACAGGTAATTAAAATGGCAACCCAGTGTTGAGTAAAATAGATTGTTCTGTAATGGATAGCGTGATGGACTTGGACTCTGGAGGCAAGGTAAAGGTTCCCCTTGACAATTGTCCAGTTGTGTCCAACTCTAGGGGGCGGTGCCCATCCCTGTTTCCAAGCCGTAGAGCCAGCGCTTGTCCATAGACAGTTTCCATGGTCACGTGACCAGCGTGTTTAGAAACGGAACACCATTACCTTCCCACTGTGGTGGTACCTATTTATCTACTTGCATTTGCATGCTTTCAAACTGCTAGGTTGGCAGGACCAGGGTTCAAATCACTATTTAGCCATGAAAACTCACTGGTGGAGTGGAACTGGTAAAACCAGTCCTTAACTATTTTGCCTATCTTGAAAGCCCTACTAGGGTATAAATTGCTTCCAACTTGATGACACAAAAACAGCAGCAACAACAATTCAATAGTTCATTGAGTCTCTTACACTGATATTATCAATGTGACCCAACTCTAGGAGACAGTGGAAGACAGGAGGGCCTGGTGTGCTCTGGTCCATGGGGTCACAAAGAGTCGGACACAACTTAATGACTAAACAACAACAAAAGATCTGCTGCTCAAGCCCTGGCTAAATGAAAAGATATTTACCTGCTAGTTGAAGGACAATAAGGAAGCAGCCACACAAAGAAAAAGGAAGATGGAGAATTCTCTGCCACCTGCTCTTTTACCTTGCATCTCCTACAAAATTCAGGCTAACTCTCCAGTAGTTGAAAAGTTCAGCTCAGCCTCAAAAAGATCTGTTAGCTTTTAAAGATCTTTAACTACTGGTGGAAACAGCAAACATCTGTTAATAGCTATTCCAGTAAATAGACTGACAGTTTTGTTGCAAACCAGCTGAAGTCTCCAAAGAGCCCATGCTGGCCGCCAGCGTAGAGCACATATTAAAAGTCCTGGCTCTTGATTAAAATCCTTTTGATGTGCCCTAGGGCAAAATGGATCTATGCTCACTGGAATGCATCTTTTTTTTCCTGAGCTGATACTTCATCCGGATCTTTTAGAGCCAATTTCCCCGATTGCACTGTTTGCCATGCGTCAAGAAACAATTTGTCACAGACTCTGCGTGGCTCTGGCTGTGACACAATATTTACTGAGTGAAACATGTGGCAGATGGAAAGGCAACCGTTCAGTCGTCATTTCCCCCCATTTCGTTTATGCTTAAGGCTATTCTGGTTCACCTCCACCAGTAAATGGAACATTTACTCTGAGTTCCTGATTCTGTGCAAAATGAAATAACTCAATTTCTGTGCCTTTTTCAAGCTTTACATTTGTTTGAGCAGCCTTCTTAGAAATTAGATCTCATGTCATTTGGATTTTCCAGCTCATTCTGCCCCTGAGGTTAAGAAGGGAAAGCGGCAGTTTAAGCAAGAATGGGGAATGTAATGTGACCCTCCACTTGCTATGGGATTCCAACTCCCATGATCCTCATCCAGCATGGGTAGTGATTCAGAGATGATGGGAGGTGTTGTCCTGTGTCATCTGGAGAACCTGAGATTCCCTATCCTCAGTTTCTAGTGAAGGTACAGGAAACTTCCCTGTCCAGTATTTAGCTGCACACATGCTCCTATGGGCTACCTATCCATAGTCATCCTCTAAACAGGAGTATGATGCTGTTAGCTTTGAAATCACTCACTCACTCACTCACTCACTCACTCACTCACTCACTCACTCACTCACTCACACATCCACATATCTATCTATCTATCTATCTATCTATCTATCTATCTATCTATCTATCTATCTATCTATCTATCTATCTATCTATCTATCTATCTATCTATCTATCTATCTATCTATCTATCTATCTATCTCTATTTCCTATGCATGCATTTCATTTCATCTCATATCTATCTTGTCTCTATTGGGAGAACACAATGTTAATGTACTAGAAAAATGTTGGAAGTGTGGCTTATAAGTGAATAAATTAAGTAAATTTATGTGTGAAAGGATCTTAGAGTAAGTAGTACATCGGCCAGAATGTTTTGCCATATTGGAGGTCTTGTATGAGCAGAGAGGCAAATTCAAGCCCCTTTCTTCTAATTCCTATCATGATGAACTAAAAAAAGAGATCTTGTTGAATGCGTAGAATGACACAGGCTTTCACTTAATGTATTTCTTAGAAAATGAAGATCAGAACTTGTATTAATATTTATGGAAAGTTACTATGCTCTTGTCACAAGAAAGTTAGTGAGCTAATGTCAGGCAATGTTTAGATTTATTTTTTCAAACTTGATGAAAATGATTTCAAAAATCAACCAGTCTTTTCCAAATTATATGCTTAGAAGTCAGCAAATATCTCACTATTTATGCCATTTTTACAAAATGGAATATAAAATGTTAGGCCATTATCAATGGCAAGCCAATGAATAAAAGGCTTTGAAAAGATCCTCTCATTAGCAGCCCTCTTCAGATGATGCCATGGCTTCCTTTATGGAATCAATCTAGGTTCTGTTTTTCTTTTTTCCTATCATTATTTATTTTTCCTTCCATTATTGTCTTTTCCTGTGAGTCATGTCTTTTCAATGTGTATCTAAAGTAAGACAGCCTCAGTTTGTACTCACTAAATTCCTCATTCTCTTTCATTGAGTCTGTCTTGACATTGTGAGACATCTCTACTAGGAATTTTTGAGCACTACAGATTCCTTACCTCCTGTGACAATATGCATGTTCTTTCATTCATCAAATTTGCCATGATTTCTGTAAAGTGCTTTAGTGCAAAGGTGTGTCCTTTCCCATTCTATAACGCAGTACACACATAAATAGAGAAAGACAGTGATTCAGATGAGCAGAACATCCCATCTAATTCTTCTGATTCCTAAAAGGCTGTGCAACAAAGCATTTGTGCAGTTGTGAAATTTGTATAATTTTTGCAAAATTCATTCTCCCCAGTGAAAGAACTTGTATTGAACATGGCACCACAAAACATCTCTCTCTTTCTCTCTCTCTCGTGAATAAAAATGTTACGTTTACTTATCATTCTTATTTTGTGATACAGTTCCAAATAGACACAATTCTTTGGGACTTGCTTCTGATTAAACATAGTTAAAGCTCATATTTGTCTTCATCTTTATTTATTTTTTTTATTTAAAATATTTTACCCCACCTTTCTCCTTAAAGAGGCCCAAGGCAGTTTACATCATGAAAAGACAATATTAGAAGCTAAAAGCAGTAAGTATACAAATACTAAAAAGGAGCAAACTAATACCACAATAATAAATGGTAAACGAAAGCAACACTGGCACACATTCAAAGCAGTAAAGTACAACCATCCATTTAGAAACCACACTCAGACAGCCAGTCACTGAGGAAAAGCTTGCCTGAAGAAAAAGGTCTTTGCCTGCTTATGGAAGGACAGCAAAGGTGGGGTCAGCCTGGCCTCCTGTGGGAGGAAGTGTGCTTTCTGACCTTCATATGTTCTTAGCATGGGTGTGTTAATCTTTTTGAAAAATTGGTTACTTCACTGATGCTGGGATAAATTGCACTAAGCTAATCCTTTTATATTTTGGGGGGAAATAAAAGTTAGATGTGTGTTTTTAAATTCCACAAACACTCATTTGAGCTTTCCTTCCTGCTCTTGGGTATTTTTAATGATATCATTTGCTTTCTTCTTTAGTCAAAAGAAGAGGCTTTGAATTCAACCTCTCATTTCAACAAGGCTATGGAATTTACAAGATATCCCATGACAACCATCATAGCGATGATGACAATTCAATCTCATACCACAGTTTGCTCAACTATGATTGTGAGAATCCAAAAGAAACTCAAAAGGATAAGAGCAAAACTGAGTTCAGCACCATCTCTCTGGAGGACAGCTCCATGCTTAAGGACACTTCCAAGTGCAAAAAAACAGTTGGAACAGACACTAAACAAGAGCTGAACAAGGATAAGATAATGGACTATCTGCTCTCTGACAAGATAGGAGCATATAAAAAAGAAGAAGTCAAAAACATTGAACAGTGCACCTTTTTTGAAGGACAAGAGAGAAGGCTTTCTCACGAGGTCAGCCGCAAACCAGAACTCTCAGACTGGGAGTGGTGCAGAAGTAAGTCGGAAAGGACCCCACGACAGGTAGAGTATTAATGGCATTCTGACATCTTCTCACATTGTCTATTTATATTGTGCTGAATATTCTACAGCAAGGGTGGGCAACATGTAGCCCACAGTTTTGTGACTCCTCACATCTGTTGCCTCTCAGTCCCATACACACACAACCATTAAAAAAAGGTTTTCTGGGGGGGCAGGCTCCTCAAAAAAGTCTCCTCATGTTCTTTATGGAATGTGAATGCAATTTTGCCATATTTTGAGACCTATCATACCCTCTCATTTCTTTTCCTTTTCCTTCCTTTTCCTTTCCTTTCCTTCCTTTTCCTTTTCCTTTTCCTTTTCCTTTTCCTTTTCCTTTTCCTTTTCTTCCCTTCCCTTCCCTTCCCTTCCCTTCTTTCTTTCTTTCTTTCTTTCTTTCTTTCTTTCTTTCTTTCTTTCTTTCTTTCTTTCTTTCTTTCTTTCTCTCTCTCTCTCTCTCTCTCTCTCTCTATGGCCACTAGAAGGCACAAAGGTATTTTAATTTTTTTAAAATTAAATTCATTTTTTTCAGTTAAAAATCCTTTGTAGCAACTTTTGCTGTGCATAACCACTATGTGTTTAAAAACTGGTTTTGAAAATGAAACTCTTTCTTTCTTTCTTTCTTTCTCTCTATGGCCACTAGAAAGCACAAAGGTATTTTAATTTTTTAAAAAATTAAATTCATTTTTTCAATTAAAAATCCTTTGTAGCAACTTTTGCAGTGCATAACCACTATGTGTTTAAAAACTGATTTTGAAAATGTAAGGTAGTCTCTTTGGTCAGGTGCCTCCCATTTATTCCTGCCTCCATGGGAATGTGGTTCCCAATTTGTTGCTTTATATCCAAGTTTTTTAAACCTAGTCTGGAAAAAATCCAGGTATATTGCTAAGATTTATAGGAAACACAGCCACAGTCTTAATTGCAAGCCAGTCAAGCCTGTGTGCTTCAATTTAATGGAATGTACTGCTTTTGATTTCTTTAGCAATAAGTAATCTCCCAGCACTTTTGTTTATCTGCATTGCAGACAGGAGAAAGGTGCAAGTATGTTTTGCCCCATATTCCATCTAGACAGTTCAATGCAGCTGGAGAAAGCTACCTGTCTTATTTTTGACTCGAGGTGGGAGAACATGAGAGATTGAAAGGGGCTTTTAAAAAAAGAAAATCAACTAGGGATGCCAGAGAAATTGCCAAATATTTACACAAACATCTCAGAGCCATAACTGCACAACATATAAACAAATGGATACACACTTGTGCAGAGAAATTTGTACTTTTTGGAAATCATCGCACATATGTGCAAAATCAGACACAAAAATGTACTCGTTTTGGGAATGATGACCAGCAAAAAGTGTGCATGCAAGGACAAATGTATGCACATATGCAGGGTGAAACCAGTCAGAGGAAGGAGAAGCCAGGTGAAAGAGAAAGGCATGAAGTGAGCAACCTAGATTCATCTTCTCTTCGGCTGAGCTCCCTGTGCATTTCATGCTCATGAATGTCTTCTGTTTTATTTCGTGATACCTCAAGAAGGGGACTGCATTTGTACCAGTGCTGGTTCCTTGACAAATAGGGCAAGAGGCTAGCAAGAAAACTGCAAGGTGATCCACTTGCTTCTTTGTAACACTTTACAATTCCCTTGAATAGTTCCCACTTCACCTCAGGGAATGTAATGTGTGTGCACAATCCTGGCAGAATACTTTTCTTTCTTCCACAACTTCCCATCCTTCCTTTCACTAATCAATTTCTGAATGTGATGCTACTCTGTAACCTCATCTCTCTTTTTTTTGCATATTTTAACTGTATTAGCTGTATTATCATGCTGATTTTTCTTCTTGGTTCAAGCTTTTGCATATTTTAACTGTATTAGCTGTATCATCATGCTGATTTTTCTTCATGGTTCAAGCAATATTAATAGCCACCTTCGCTGTTTGAGTGTTGGTCCTTATGTGGCCAATATAAAACCACTCTCACACAAGAAGGAGAGAGTAACAGGTTTGAGAGAGCCTTAGGATTTGTGGTGTTGTTGCTGTGTGCCATCACGTTGCTTCTGATGTATAGTGACCTTATGAATGAGTGATCTCCAAAATGTCCTGTTCTCAACAGCCTTGCTCTGCTCTTGTAGACTCAAGCCTGTGGCTTTCCTTTAGGGAGTGAATCCATTTTGTATTTGGTCCTCCTTTATCCATCCCTTTAGGGAGTGAATCCATCTTGTATTTGGTCCTCCTTTTTCCGTGCTGCCTTCCACCATTGCTGGGGGCAGAGGAGTGTACACAGCATCTCCACACTGGAAAACTTTTTTGTAGGTCCTATTTGTAGGCATCTATTGTGGAACACAGTACCTCTCTCTCTCACACACACACAAACACACAAACACACAGACATGCATGCAGAGAGAGAGAGAGAGAGAGAGAGAGAGAGATGCATTGCCCACTCAGTCATTGGAAACGTCTTCCATTCAAATGTTTATTTAAAGCAATGTAAAACAGTTCCATAGTTTGGACATCTAAACAACATAATGGATTGATTTCTTCTGTTTGACAATGATCCTATTCTTGATGACTGTTCATATTGGCCTGAATTTGATTCACATGAAAAAACTTAAACACATTTATATTCTGAAGGGATCTAGCGATACATTTTGTTTCACTTTAGCAGTTCATGCATAGCAGCAGTCTTTCCAAGACAGAAATTTCCTAGAAGACAATCTTTCAGCTTTCTTTCTACCATATTTATAGGGTTCCAGAACACAGTCAAACAGCCCGAAAAACTTACAACAACCACCCTAGTGATTAGTTTGCATCTTATCTCCTCTGAATGAAGTAATATTCTCTGGCAGTGGCTTTATTATGTAAACTGCTCTTCAGGTGTGTAAATATTTTTCTTGCCATGCGAGTTTACTAGCAGCCTTGAGCAGAGAAGGGAGTCACACCTTCACTACCTGGAGTTTGAATCAATTTGAGCTCTTTGTAAAAATCTGATATCTATTTGATGTCTCTTTTCATCTTACCACCCATCATTCCAAGCTGAAAGCTCAGTGTTCCTACCATTATCTCTTCTGATTCTTGACCCGTTGACACCATTTTGTGTAAAGTGGACATACAAATGTTTGAACTTTTAGCTCAAAATTATGGGAGAGGAAAGGAAGGACAGCAAAACCACCCAATAGGCTCAGAGAGTTTCTGCTTTTTGTAGGGAGAACATCTTTGATTTTAGTAGCAATAGCAGCACAGCACTACCTTGTTTCCCTGAAAATAAGCCCTAGTATGATTTTTTCAGGATGCCCGTAATATAAGCCCTACCCCCAAAATAAGCCCCAGTTAAGTGAAAGCCCGCCCACCACCATTGTGTAGCAACCAGAAGATGACATGACTGTATTTGAATAAAAGTAGATTGTTGTACATGAAAAAAAAAATAAAGATAGTGGAAAGGAAGGACAGCAAAACCACCCTATAGGCTCAGAGAGTTTCTGCTTTTTTGTAGGGAGAACATCTTTGATTTTAGTAGCAGTAACAGCACAGCACTACCTTGTTTCCCTGAAAATAAGCCCTAGTATGATTTTTTCAGGATGCCCGTAATATAAGCCCTACCCCCAAAATAAGCCCCAGTTAATTGAAAGCCCACCCACCACCATTGTGCAGCAACCGGAAGATGACATGACTGTATTTGAATAAACGTAGATTGTTGTACATGAAAAAAAAATCTTCTGAAAATAAGTCCTAATGCGTTTTTGGAGCAAAAATTAATATAAGACCCTGTCTTATTTTCAAGGAAGCACGATACCTTTCTCTAAAAGAATCCATCTATAAGAATCCATCACAGCTCATCCTAACAGTTCAAAAAAAAAATTCAGAGTATCAGGTACTACTGGGGATAGATCCAGGCTTACATATAACATTCGACTGGCAGTTGCACAGGTAGTATCAACATACCATCCCACTACCCCCTTGATGTACCAATTCTCTTCTGATTACAGACATTAATCAGCATCATGCCTGCTTAGTATTTGGTTGGGAGGAATCCCAAGGGATCTCCAGAAGAAAGAAGCATAACCCAAATTGGTTGTTGTGGGTTTTTCTGGGCTCTTTGGCCGTGTTCTGAAGATTGTTCTTCCTAATGTTTCGCCAGTCTCTGTGGCCAGCATAACCAAAATTGTGAAGATCCATTGCTACCCATCAGATTTGATGATCCTGGGCTAGTTGAACCAATAATCTGACCCAATATAAAACAGCTTCCTATGCTCCTAATGCCTCTCCCTCTTGAACCCATAAGACAGCTTGGGAAATTTTTCAAGCTGCCCATACTTAGTTTCAGGGGCCCATTGAGTACACAGTGGAAAAGACAAAATGTAGTTTTAAAACATTAAATGTAGTTTTTCCATATAATTGATTTCTGTGAAATATTCATGCAATTTGCCATCCCAAGTCCTTCCCTCATTTACACAAACATCTGGGATTGCATTGTAAGGGTGAGGGAAAATGGCTTCCCTGCATCTGTGTGTGAGAATAGAACATAATCTCTTTAATTTTTTTCTTACTTGAACTGCATATGGAGACAATGAGGACATTTAGACACAAATAGAAAAAAAATGGGACATTGTTTTTGTTTGTTTCCAAGATGGTTAAATAGTGGAAGAAGTTGTATAAATTTTTAAACTGCAGCTGAGAAAGGAAAGAATCTGGGATTCACTGCACGGAGCATAAATTCTGTTTGCAGTGCAGTTGGTGAGTTCATAGATACTTTGCTGCTAAAAATTAATGATGAAGAACTAAATACCAAGCAATTTCTGAGAATACATGGTGTATATTCAATGCTGTCTATGTCTGCCAAGAAGGCAAAAGTGAACACCAGCTGTTTTTAAATCTATCCTTCCTAGAAATATTGTTTGCATGATTAAGCTGGAAAGGGCATGCTAGGGCAAATGAGAGACATTCAGCTCATCTCTCTGTTTCTAGCTATTTGAAATTCTCTATACCTATTGCCAGATGTTCCTCGTAGAGAAAATGTGA